GGAGTATCAGTTATCTAGTTCTCCTGGAGACTGTGTGCTCTAATGATTTTATTGAGAGGTCTTTGCATCTTTGCCCTGTTTTGCAAACTCAGCTTGCTGTTTCCAGAGGCCCTCTGTTGATGCCCTCATCTTTACTGCTGCCGGTGGCTGTCGGCTGGCAGATCGTGCCCTCTCCCAACACTGGGTCAGGTGCTGAGCTCTTACCCGGTGGGCAGGCGAGTCACTCCCCTCCCAATGCTGCAGTCAGATGCTGTGCTCGGGCAAGGCAGGTGGACTGATCACACCCCTGGAGGAGCTCTGTTTGAAAAGTACTTGGCAGTTATCTGGATCCAGAGTGAACTTCATAAACAGTAGTTTAAGGAATCAAACTGCCCCAACTTTTTGTCGGTAGAGTTATTTATTGATGTTGTTGTTATTTTTAGCAGTAATACTTCTGTCATGTTTAAGAGCTATCAAATTGTTATATATAAATTAGAAATTTTAATATGTATTCTAAACAGATGTGAACTTTCATGCTTTAATAGAATTTCCTCTGCATTAAAATGTTATATATTTATGTCATATTTTCTGCTATTAATAAAAATACCAGTGAAACTTGTTTCTAATGCTTTGAGAAATCTATAACTTTAAAGGATTTAATAAAAGCTTTTGGCAAATCAAAATAAAACTTTTTTCTTTTCTTTAAACATAAAGTCTTTTAGATATGCTGAGACTGGAAGGAAAACTGATGCATGGCCTTCACAATCTCGGGGCTGACAAAGAAGATGTGAGTGAACTTTTAAAATTAAGCTCACATAATTGGGACGATATCTATGCATTAGATATTAGGCATTCTTCAATAATGGTAAGTGCCCATGAAATTCACCTTTTTAAAACCTTTAGTAGACTTAAGACTTAACATAAAACCAAATATTGGCAGGCTTTAGAATAAATTTAAGCGTTTTGAAAGAGTTTGTAGGAGAACTCAGAAGAAAAAGTAAAAGTAGATTCACCCCCTCTCACGCTTATATCTTCTTCCCCCTTCCTCATATTCTCTGTTTCCTCACAAAAGTACGTTCTGAATCTCATTCAGTATCCTTTCTACCTTTAAAGAGGAAAACAAAACAAGAACATCAGAATAACCACACAAACAGCAGCAACACCAAATGGTTAAAATCTGAGGAAAGTAAGAATATCACCTTAATGTAGTGAAAATCTTGCCTAACAATTTGCAGTGGCCTCCTAACATTCTGGTCCAGGTATTACAGCCTGAGTGAATTTTTTTAAATTTAATTACATCACTTTTCCTTGCTTAAAGCCCAAAGAGTCCGTAGTGTGGCCTATGAGGTGTAAACGGCCTGCCCTTCCCTTTCATTTCTTAAACTATGACATATTCTTTTTACCAGTGTCCTTTATCCCATGCTCAGAAAGCAATTCTTCCTCTCTCTTTCCAGTTAATGCCTACTCCTTTTTCAGGCTTCAGCTCCACACAGTACTTCCTGAGAGAAGCTTTCCTTAACCATCCAGATTAGATAATTATTTTATGTACCCATTGTGTCAAGGAATCCCCAAGATCACCCTCAGGCTGAGGGGTTCACTAAAAGGACTGACAGGGCATAAGAAGTTGTTACACTTAAGGTTCCAATTTGTTAGAGCAGACGAATACCAAGCAATACCAGAAGTGGAAAGGGCATGGGGTAAAGTCCAGAGGAAACCACGTGCAAGCTTCTAAGAGTCCACTTCAAGTGGAGCCTCACAGGACATGCTTAATTTGATGTGTGACAATCTGTCCAAAGTGCTACCTATTAGGGAAGCTGGCTTGAGCCTGGGAGTTCAGGATTTTTTAAAGGGGTTTAGCATTTAAGCACGTAACGGCACGTGACTGATCTCAGTCACAGAAGCTCCAGACCCTGAGAGGAAAATCAGGTGTTCATCATAAATCATGTTGTTTGTATAAACTCCGTATACAGATTGCTAGAGCATACAGCAAGGCCCTTAGCATGCAAAACACTCTTATCAGTCAGAACATTCCAAGAATTCAATTCCCAGGAGCCAACCTAGAGAAACTTTATCAGGAAAATAGGCCTTTCTTAGGAATGTGCAAGGTGTGGACAACCCAGGCTTGCTAAGTTAACCCTCTCCCCCTCACCCCCTCTCTCCCGCTGTCTCCCTCTCTCCTATATTTTTACTATATGACGACAGAAGTCTCTGTTATGTTATCCAATCACCTGCTAAATTTTGGACAGAGATTTTCTTAAATGCTTCGAACCGAAAAAAATCTCCCAGTCTTTGCAGAGGGGCTCTGTGTGTGTGGCACATGGAGAGGGGGAGCAGCACGTGCTAAACACTCAGCCAGGTAGTCTGCATCCCTGCCTTGGCCTTCAGTTCTTGCTTACATAGAGCTTCGAAGTTGACCCGTGGTGCGAATGCCGGGCCTTCTCAGGTCTTTGCTGAGCATGTGCATGTTTCTGGGCATGCGCGTGGCCTTTTAGATCCTAGAAGTATGTCAGAACTTCCCAAAGCCCTGTTTCCTAAAATAGCTCATCCCCCAGCCTTTCCTCACTAGGTCTATGGTTACTCTGTTGTTTGCCCCAACTGTTTTCTGTTGTCTCCGGCAGGAGCAACTAAAAAACATTTGCCTGTAAATGTTTTCCACAAATTAGGGTAGCAGCTTTAACTAGGCAAGTTATAAGTTAGGAAGGATAAAGACAAGCCTTTTCAGTGGATTTTCCAGGGAATCAGCAGACAGTTCAAACAAAAAATTTCAATTCCTTCAGAATAAGGTCTCTTCTGCTCCCTTCAGTGTTGGTACTGAATGTGAGCTGTTATTTTCAAGCTTATGGATAAGCTTGGGAACAGGAGATGGGACTAGGGTAAGTTATAATACCACAGGTCTCACTGTTCTCACTGAGATTCAGCCATTTTTCTTGAATAAATGCTCAGGGTTGTTACAACTTTTGGTTAGTTTTCATGGTTCTTAGAATGTTGATTCCCAAAGAGTTTCTTGTTTTTCTGTTTTTACATAAGGACATAGTTTGGGAATTCCTTACTCAACTGTTTTAGCTAATGTCACTCCCTAAAAAGAACCCAAAAGATGTGAACTCTAAGTCTTTTAAGTTCTTTGCTTCTCTTATAAAGAGATTGAGTCTCTAACAGTGTGATCCATCTTCTAATTATTTGTTGACCCATTTAGCTCCTTGGACATTGAGGAGATTGTCTTACAGGTCCTAATCTATAACTGGCAGTGATTTTTTTTCAGTATCTTGGTGCCCCAGTAGATAGAAAGGCCCGAGTTATGACCAGCAGAACTGACGGAGGTGGGTCACTGGAGTGTCGGTGCCACGTCTGCTTCTGTGTATTCACCTGAGATTGAAGAAAGGGCTGTTGAGTGTTTCTGGGCCTGGCCTGGGTGATTACCAGTGTTGCCTCAGGAGTTCTCCAAAATGAATCAGGGTATCACCGCAGTTCCCTCCCCCAGCACCCATGCTGTAACTCAGGCCATTTCTTGAGCTTTCTAACTTTAGTGTTTGTGATTCTTTTCTTTTCTCACTGAAGGAGATAAGTTCTTCCACTTCTTAATTACAGACACGCTTTTAAAATTCTAGAATATCTCTTTAACTCTTTTTTTAAATAGGTTTTAGTTCTTTTAAAATTTTCCATCTTTCCATCTATTTTTGTTCTTTGTAAAAAATACATTAATTGTAGTTATTTTAAAGTCCTTGCCTAAGTCCCTTTCTATTGTCTGGTTTTTTTTTTACTGCATTTTGATATTTGGTCTTTTTTTTTTTTTAAAGGACAGTTTTTGGTAAAAGCCAGAAATTACTGATGAAAAGTTATAGAAACAAAGAGTTGTAAGGTCTGTTCTGGCAGCCCAGATACCAGATGCCGACTAGATTCTGGTGAGGCTTGGTTTTAGGCTTCGTGAGAGCTCTTCTATTTTGTGTCTTACTCCTAGGGTCTGAAATGAAAGTACAGTGGTTAGCAAAGTGCCTCCACCTTGAACTCCAGCCTCTGTCTTATCAGTACCACGTTAGTCTGCAGCTTCAACCTCCCAGTTTCTGTTTTTCCTGGTCTTTTTTTTTTTTTTTTTGAGGCAGGGGGAGTATTGCAGATTAGTAGTCAGCAAATGAGAGGAATTTCTATGGAGATTTTTTGGTTTCTTCTCTGCAGTTACCTCTTTTCTGAATTTCCGCCCACCTCAAATCCCACCAGTTTGGTAGCCTTAACTGACTTCTGTCTTTCCCAATATGTATGT